GCAAACAGAACTACAGCTGGCAGAGACCTGTGCACATGAAGCACTGACATGCATGTGCACTCACATTCGCCCCTCAGCCGAGGCTCTAGGTATCCCGGACATTAAAGCCCCAGGAGGTGCTGTTCAAAATGCTGGATCTTCTCGGAAGAACTTCAAAATCATTCCAAAGCACCACTCTTTGCTTCACCTTCTGCTCTACGTCGACCGTACAGCCCGGAACCCGCGGAGATTCGGATCTGATTTCGAAGATATGTCGGATTGGTTTGTAAATCATGTTAATTCGAGACCCCAAGCCCGAAGCCTCAACCCGATCAGCCAAGGTATGAGCATTGCTATCAAGATGAAGACTTGATGAAAGAGATTGGCCGCATATGTTCGAGCTGCCACCCTGCGACGATGCATTATGTTACTTGCAATCGTTACCGAGCTCTCCTCGAGTATGGACAGGTTTTTGCAAAGAAAGCTGGCTGATCGATCACGATCGATCGAGTACAGCTGACGGAGAGCTGAGGCCCATTAAAACGGTATCCTGTTTTATGTCTTCCTGGAAAAACGGCCCGCTTACATCCATGTTGAACTGCATCTTCGCCATGGAATATGAAGCACATGTGAGGTCGTGTCGTGCAGGCATTCTTTCCACCAAGTATGCATGCGTCCAGTAAATCATGTGTTTGACCGTGTAGGCTTTGTAGCAGCTCGCTAGTTCAGGGGCATGGTTCCATGCCTTTTTTCCAAATCGAACCAAGCTGAAACGATGCCCACATGCAGCGACTGCGTTCTCCCGGCACCATGCTTTATAGTGCATCCACACATCCGTTTGCAGTGCTCTCTGCAGGTCTTTCAGTGTCATATCCCCCCCCCAGCATTGTACGATGCATTCAACTACAAGTGCGGGTATAACACAGCAGGCAACTCCTTGATGTAAGACATGGAGCAAATCCTGAGACAGCATGTGCACAACAAGACATAAACAAACAGCATAAAATCAGATTTCGACCACTATACGGAAAGCCAAGGAACTTCCAAGTTTCGGTCTTTCGTCCACCCAGGAACATGTTGCCATTTGGATCGTAGCTCTGGTGGCGTCATGATCATAAACTGCGCGTGTGTGAATTGAAGGTTCAAATAGCCGGCGTTGGGCGAAAAATCTTTGTAATAGAAAGCTCCATCTTTCTTGGTCGCAAGGCAGTGTTCGCAAATATTGTCGTGTCGGTAGCTCCTCTGTAGCTTGTGGATGTATACCTTCGCCTCCCAGTCGCCTTTGCAACCACTGAAAGCAAACCGCCAACCACCTGCAAAAAAGGACCCGGCAACCTTTGCCTGCAAGGATCCCTCTTCCCAAGGGGCCCCGTTGAAGTCTTCCTGAGGATATTTCCCAGTTTGCAATACTTTTTGGACCCATGCAATGACCTCTGCAATTCGATCGTGCGTAAATGGCCTCCAGACCAAAACCTCCCTGACCAAAAGCAACAGTAGCTTGCATTGCATGGACGGCCCTTTCTTCAGTGCACTTGAATACGAATATATCCAGCACTTCTGCTGCTTGTAAACCCGCACACCATCGGTGTGCCAAAAGATTGGTATCGTTTTTCCCGGTTCTTCTAGTTGAAGCAGCTGAACAGATTCTTCGGAAGAAAGCTTTCTCCAGTACTCCTATGGACAGGCACAAACAAACAGCATCCACAACCTAGCCTAATTACATACACACTGAATGCACGTCAAGCTGCAGCACACTCGCCGGACAATCGTGATGCTTCGTTGCAAGCCCAGTCACACAGGTGCCCGTTGTCATGCAACCAGTGTAGTACATCCCAGGGCCATATGATTGAAGTAGCTTGCATGGCGTCCCAAACATCACCACGAGGCTGCTCCACACGAAGCGGGAGTTGTACTTCTCCCATGGGAATTTTTGAAGATTTCGCATACCACCTTCATTGAATTTCGGAGAAGATGCTTATGAATAGAATGAAAAAACAAACGAACATACCGGGATAAAGCAGTGCCCCAGCCTTTGAAAAGACCTCTCTTCGTGGCCTCCTTGGCTCCAGCTCGCCAACTTCTCTGCCAAGAGGCAATCCACCCCATCCAGCAGCAAATCGCCGGCTTGCCGGCATCCATCCGTTGCATGGATTTTCTGGCGGGTGTATACATGCGTAAGGTGCAGACACATGCCCACACCAGTTCATATGGATGCACACACACACACACTAACACTAACACTAGAATCACACAAGGACCCGGCCCCTTTGCAAATCTCTCGAAGAATTCGCCGAGCAGAATGGCTCGCATGGTCAACAATATACTTTCCTGAGCTGCGCACAACCAAAATCATGGAATTCCCAAACCTTTATTGTTCAGTTGTTCAGTCGAGTTTCCGTCCAGCTCCGTCCTGGCTCCTGAGTTCTATGAAACGATACAAGTTCTAAGTGTATCTAAACAACACAAGCAGCAACACAGTGCAGCCACAGATCGAGAAATGTGTTCTCGCCCCATCGATCTCGATCTAGATCGTGATCTGCGCATCAAATACAGCACACACACAGACAGAGGATAACCTCGATCGTTCGACAACGTAGCTTGGATAGAACAGACACTGTCGACCGTATTTTTGAAGCTCTCGGTACTCGGTGCTCGTAACCTTAAACATCTTGTGGGCTTGACTCCATCTACCCTGGCGCGTATTGCACAGCCACCCAGCAGCACTACAGCTCACGGTGTTCAAGTCGTCGTATATTATTTAGCTGTCGTGAACGATCAAAATCCGTGAGCGTGCAGTGCTGGAAAATCCCAGTGCTTCTAAGCAACAGCAACCAGGGGATTGCAGCCACTAGTTCAAACAGAATGCCCATTTAGGCATCTTCACTTTGACTTATTGGGAGAAACTTCCGTGTCCTTACTCCCGGAGCCTTTCCCCGGAGAGCTCTTGGAAGGAGAGCTCTTGGCTGGCTTTGATGACTTGGCACTAGCCCGAATCAAGGCTTTCGCAAGATCCACCCGCTCTTTGGCCAACTTCTGCAGCTCCTGAACCTAAGGCACAGAAACATCCAGCAACACATAGCACAATGTGCCATGCACTTCACTCCGGAATCGAGCCTCTTGAGTCACCTTTGCAGAATGCTTCCGTTTGTTCTTCTTCGCAGCAATCAGCTTCTGTAGAATCTTGGCCTGTGTGCAAAACAAAAACATCATGAATGAGACATATCATGCATGTAATTACCACAAACAAACATCGCCGTAGACGGCCTTGGCTCCACAGCCTTCAGCTGTGATATCAGCGGTCCCGACATTCTCAGTGGGGCCAGCTTGAAAGCATTTTCCCTTAGCCGCACTCGGTTGTGGTTTCACTTCAATCTTACATGCAAAAGTAAACTCACAACATATAATTGCGATCCCAGCAGCCGGCAAATGTTGCAATCTTTCAAAACCGCATGCTGCAACGCCTTGGCGTCGTCGATCGGGTCGTTGGGCTTCACTTCCTGGCACCAAACACACATGGCACATGTACGGGCTGGGGGTTTCAAGGACGTGGAGGGGGTGGCCTTTGCAGCATCGTTGCCGTTGCCGCCTTTGTTCTTGTTTTTCTTGCTGTGTTTGCTTCCGCTGCCCTTGTTGAGCTGGGAGAGCTCCAAAGCTTTGTTCATGGCGGTCTGATTGCCCCTTCCATCTGCATTCGCAAGCTGTGCCTTGGGGTCCAGGACTCCACCTGCCTGGGATGCAAGGGGTACACATATGTGTTTGTTTGTGCTCGGATAGCCTACCGAAAATATGTTTTCTTTAGCAGCCAAACCTTGGTGAAGGCTGACAGGGTTTCTGCATCTACACCGCCAGACAACTCCAGCTTCGTAATGCGTTTCAACTCGCGAATATCATCGATGTTGATCTCGACAAACACGAAAAACAGCTTGTCTTCCGGCGACTCCGGATCGGGGATCGTCCTTAGATCGCATGCATGCATCCCAACGGCTAAAACCATCTAGAATGCACATGTCGTGGCATGCAAATTCATATAACAAGTCACAAACCTTGGTCAATCTTCCTTTGCATGATGCGTTCGGCTTTGCTATCACCGTGCGTCTTCTTGATCCACTGCTCGGACCTAAACCCATACCGAATTTTCGACCTCTGCTGTTCGGACAGCATCTGTTCGTGCTTCAGGAGGATCTGCTCCACCTTCCCCCCGGCCTCTATGTAGTCTCGGAAGAGATTGGCCCTTCCATCTTCCGTTTCAATCCTACCAACAAGGGCCTGGGGGAATCGTTTCCTGTTCTTGATCCAGCGCTTGTACCTCAGGTATTCTGTGTGATGGGTACTCGAGTTTACCGTTTTCAACTTCTTCTCTGCTCGGGCCAACTTCTTCTTCTGCTTGGATCCGATCTTTTTCTTTTCTTTCTTGCCTGCACTCTTCACATCACTCTTTCCCTCCTCTGCATCTTTGGCAGCCTTGGCTTTGGATGTCTTCTCGGGCTTCTGGCTTTGCTCCTCCTTGTCCTTGATTTCGAGGGCTTCGCTTTTCGGCTTCTTATTCTTCGCGACGTTGGTGGAGCTTTCGACCTTCCTTTTTTTTCCTTCGGACACCTTTGCATCAATCTGGGAGCTTGCATCCTTTTTTTTGGGGGGGGGCTTGGCCTCCTCCTCTTCCTCTGCCTCATCTTTCTTCGCTTTTTTGGGCTTGGTCTTCTCCTCCTTTGTTGCCTCATCCTTCTTCGTTTTTTTGGGCTTGGCCTCCTCCTCTTCCGTTGCCTGATCCTTCTTCTCCTTCTTCGCTTTTTTGGGCTTGGCCTCCTCCTCTTCCGTTGTGTCACCCTTCTTCGCTTTTTTTGGCTTGTCCTCCTTTGCTGCCTCATCCTTCTTCACTTTTTTGGGCTTGGCCTCCTCCTCTTCCTTTGCCTTATCCTTCTGAGCTTTTTTTGGCTTCTCCTCCTTTGTTGCCTCATCCTTCTCTTCTTTTGCCTCCTCCTCCTTTTTTTTTTTGTGTTTCTTCTCGTCTGTTGCATCCTTCTGCGCTTTTTTGGCCTTGTCCTCTTCATTCTTGGCTTCCTCTTTCGGCTTCTTCTTGAAGAACTCCTCCACGGTCTTCGCCTTCGCTTTGGCTCCTCCCTGCTCGGCTTTGGAAGCCTTGCCTGATTCCTTGCTTTGCTTACCCTCCTGCTGCTCCTCCACTTCTGATTCTTCCTCTTCTGTTGATACCTCCTCTTCTTCTTCTTCCTCCTCCTCGTCTTCTTGCTTCAAATCGATCTCTTCATCCTCTTCTGCGTCCTCTTCTTCTGCATCTTCCATTTCTCCGGAGTCCTCGTCGGAGATGCTTTGCTTTTCTTCCTCACATTCATCGTCTTTGCTTTCCTCGGCTTCCTCTTCGCTTTCCTCCTGCTGCTCTTCCTCTGACCCTGCCTTGTCCTCGGCTTCTGCTTCACTCTGTTCCTCCTCTTTGCTCTCTTCACTCTCTTCGCCCTCTGCTGCCTGATCATTCGCTTCGTCTTCACTATGCTCCTGTGTAGTTAGCATCGTGTACATTAATTGTCAAAACACGTATGATCATATATACAGCAGTATGGCTATAAGGCCTCGGACGAAGTTTCGTTTGGCTCTTCGGCAGCAGCTTCGGCGGAGAGATCCTTCAAAATCTGGTCCGCTTTGCTTTCTGTCATCGGGCTTTCGGCTTTCTTATGGGGCTTTCGTGGGGGTGTTCCCTCGAAAACCTCTTCATCTGCACCACTGAAGCTGAGGCGTCGCTGCGGATTTGAATCCTTAGACGAGCTGCCACCGGGTTTCCTCAGTATGGGCGACGGGGTCTTCAAACTGAGTCCTGATCGGCTGCTGCCAGAGTCGCTTGGCGATTTCTTGGCTGCAGCTTTCAACCTCTTGGTGGAAACCGGGCCTTTGGATCGCATTCTCCTCTTCGGGGATAAAAACTTCTTCACCATCCGGCTCTACAAACAGGGGCACCACACACGGAAAACCTTTAATCGAGCCGCATCCCAACACGTTCGATGATCATGTTGCTCTGATTAATGCATGCCGAAGCATGAACTGCAGCACCAAAGGCTCTTAAGTATTTTCCCCACAGCAAAAGCTTGTCCAAGCTCGCCTTGGACTACCCGATTCAGTTCCCACGGTTGGTTTCTAAGCTGGTTGCTGCTTCGGCCGTAAAATTTATTGCTTTTATTGGGTTTTATTGTTTTTTTCCTGATTTTCTGCTAAAGTTTTATTGGTTTATTGGGGTCCAATAAATGCAATAAATTTATCGGGGTTTTATCGGGGTTTTATTGGTTTTTTATCGGTTTATCGGTTTTTAGGTTTTGGGCAGGAACGGATGTTTTTTTGTAGATTTTGGGCCGGAATTGAACATTTCCCAACCAAGAATGCACAACTAGAGCTTGCAAGGACTTGTCTTTGATCTGGAAACCCCATCACTTATCTGAAGCTTCAGCGGCTGCATCTCATAATCAGCCCAGGCCATTCAAGCATCGCAGGACTTGCTTGATATCGGCATGCTTCGCCCAACCAGGGTCCTTAAGATTGTTTGCACACCAGGGTACACACACATATACCCATGGACATAGAGATGCTGTTGTCAATGAATTAGAATACAAATTATAGGTATCACCCATGTATATTCTATATGGACCACACACAGCTAGCTAGCTGCATATTTGCCCGGTGGGCAGAATGTGGGCAGCCTCGGCTTACATGGAATGTGCAAACTCTATATATGTATATGTATATATATATATTTATTTATTTATTTATATTTATATTTCTAGACATACATATATAGATAGATAGATAGATAGATAGATAGAGAGAGACAGAGAGCGAGATCTAGAGACATACATACAGACACACATACATAGTGGGGGGACAGCCAAGAATTGGGGCGATAAAAGCGATAAAGCGATAAAGCGCTAAAGCGATAAAACGATAAAGCGATAAAGCTCTAATTTAAGGGACAACAGGAGGGACTCCTAATCCTAATAACCTATATAACCATAATATACCCCCTATATAGTCTCCTATATAACCCCAAGGGTCCCTTTAAAAGACTCTCCTTTCCAGGACGTGACAATCGGACCTATAAATAATACCTCAACAGCATAGGTTATTTTGAGGTATTATTTTATAGGTCCGGTTGACACGTCTTGGTTAGTCTCTTGACTAAAGCGATAAAGCCATAAAGGAAAGCGGTAAGACGATAGATCAGGCCGTGCATGGTTAATTGATAAGGAAAATTATATGAAGCCCACCGCATCAGAAAACATTTGACTCTGTGGACCCCAAAACCAACCAATTTGAGTCTGCATATATATATACATATAGATATGCTTTTTGTATTTATCTTTATATAGGTTCATAGATGTGCGTAGACTTAAGCACACACACACCCACCCACACACCCAAACACATATCATGCTAAATCATGCTACGTGCTGAAACATGGGTATGCTTGGATGTATGGATATATGTATGTGTGTATATAGTACGGACCCGTATACTGGCGTAGCAGTCATTTATAAATATGCACACACATAAACAGTTCCATGCCTTATATATATTACATGCATACATTCATTCAGTACAAAAGACTTCCTTTGTATACTTAACCCATGTACACACGTGGTACAGGCACATACACATATACATATATGTACAGACACACACACACACACTCACATACATTAAAAGCCCAGAACCCAGCCGAATTCCTTATAAGTCGCTTTCATCACCTCGGGCTTGTCACGTCGCCGCAATTCGTGCCTCAGCTTCACTCACATACACTGTGCATACGGATCGAACATGCATGATTTAGATGCAAAAAAGAGGCTCGCGCTCTCGCACACACGAAGCGAACTCGTCCTCAATCATGCATGAACGGT